CGTGCATGCATGGCTATAAAGGCTCTAAATGCCTATTTTAAGTTCTTAATGGAGCGTCATGTTCAAGAGGGACCTCAATCATGACCAAAACTGCAACTTTATGCTTCTAGAACCCAAGGAGGGTCCAGATCTAAAGTTACAACTTCAGATTTAGCCCATAGCTCATCTTGTCAACTTAATATTCCGTAAAAACGCTAAAACTCAACCAATAGAAGAGATCTAAAGGAAAATGGCAATTTGGGTACCTCTAGAAGAGGATAACTGAGATAAGTGTTGATTCTCACACTCTACTTGTTCCAATCTCCTTCTCCTCCAAGCCTTCTCCCTCCAAAGGTTCTCTTTTCAAGCTTCAAACACACAATGGGCACACACACACACACACGTATTAGGGTTCTCAAGGACTCTCTAGAACTGTAAAGAGGCCCAAGGGAGGCTAAGGTTCCTTTAAATAAGGTGCAAAACCATGGGATTTAGGGTTTCATCTGCCAACTCCTACTCGCCGAGTCCCAATATGGACTCGTCGAGTAGGTCACTTAACACGCGATCTCACCCCGCTGCTACTCGACAAGTAGGGCAACCAACTCGTCGAGTAGGGCTTAACCCAAGAAATCTTATTTAAAACAATACCTGATAATCGGGGCGTTACAACTTGCATTAAGGATAACATATTATTATATGAGTATAGTATTGGGATAAACTTTTTTTTACAGATTACACTTGTTTTCTATGACAACGTTTAGTAATTAGTAATGAGACAAAAGTGGACTCGACAGGACAAAATTGAATTGGACACGATAGAATAAGAACAAAACAAATTGTTTATATATTGTTTGGTAGAATTAGGACAAAAAAAGAACACAATATTAAAATTACCATATTGTCCTTGAGACAAATAATATAAAATACAAAACAATACTTTAAAGATAACTATTTTTTTAACATAAGTTATTTAGATTTTAATCTTTATTTTGATATGTTGGCAAATTTACTAATTCAACTTATTGTTTCACTAGATGTCAATCAAACAGAAAAGGAAGTCGGTGAAACCTATATTCCAACTAAAAAATATATATTAACAATGGTGAGTTTTAAGATACAAACTATTTGGATTTAACAATAAAATTGATGAAATAAAAATAACAGGTTGTCAACAAAATACATATCGAGAATTGTGCTATCAAAAATATAATAGATGAGTTGTTCATATAACCCAATCGGCCAATCCTAAGTTTTTGTTTTTAATCATCACAAGACTGCAAAGTGCATGACTTGAAGGTTCAACAAAAAATCATAGAAGCTTATGGCGATTTCATAATAAATCGCAAAGCAACCACCAATTGCAGAAGAAGATCAACTATAAAAACCTAACCTACATTCTTTTTCGTACAATTGATTCTTTTGTAAAAACTAGATCGCCTGCTTTCAAAATGTAAATCGATATTTTGGAGTTCGACTCTATTTAAACAAGTTTTCAATAAATAATAGCATTTGTTATCTGTAATACCTAAGCATATGAGAGCTCAAGGGAAAAAAACTTCGAGGTTTCCAGAAAAGAAGTTTAATTAGACAAAAAGATTGAGATGCAATAAAAATCAATACCAGTTTGCCAGACAAGATGAACAAAAGAGATCCATCAACAGAGGCGGTGGATAAAAAATTGAGTTTGCTCAGATTTTGCGATTTGCACAAGAAGAGATAGGAGGTGAGGGTATTTTGGTCATTGTAAGCATTACGTCTTTTTGTCCCAGTCAGATCCACCATTTTGAGTGGGACTAATTTTACAGATTTTAGTCCTATTGATCAAGTTCAGTTCTGTACAACTACAATATACTAAGCGCTACCTAAAAGATCAAACTAAAATTATCACAAATGATGGTGGAGCTAAAATTTTTGATACGTGGATACAAATATTATCAATTTATGTAGTTATCCTATCACAATTTATGTAGTTATCCTATCACATACATTAAAAATATGATACAATCCGGTTAGTTGGATGTACAACAACATAGAACATATTTACAAATAATATTTTTATATATAAAAAACAAGTTTTTTGGAGGTGTTGTAGTACCCTCACCGGTCTATATAGTTCGGCCACTGAATGATAAAATGAAACATTTTATATCATGCATTATGAATACCTAAACGTGAAATTATGGCTTATGGATTTTGATCTTAGCCCCGTGTGGACAAAAACTATACACAGAAACAAATATATATTTTGGTGATTTTCTGCATGACGAATATTCAATTTCTTGGAGACGACATATGCCTTCTGTTGCCTTTTAAACACACTAACATGATGTTGCTCTCACGATGATACCATTTGTCGTGTAAAACCACCAATTCAAAATCACATTTTTAACTGGATATGCCAAGGTATAATACTCTAGGACAATCGAATTTTTCTCAAAACCATCTTTTAAGATCTAGATGCTTTTTCTAGTTTATTCCATTTGTCTCTAACAATACTAATTCAGGCGTCAATTTCATACTCAACATTGGTGTAGTGAAAATGAAGATGAAAACATGTCATTGTAGCAATTGTAGCAGTATCGAGTCATTGAGTTCACATGTCATATACTCCTAATAGGGCGTATACACCTAATTCTGATTACAAAAAAAATTGTTAAAGTTAAAATAAATGAAATGTTTCCGGTGTTGCCCTTCCTCCTTGAGGTTGAGGGTTCAAGTCGTGTCGTCGACATATGTGGATTGAAGGAGTAGTATGATAAATTTGCAGTTTCAAAAAAAAAAATCACAATATTCGTTTGTATAGGATTCAACTTTCTCTATTTTCCTCATCTTTAGGACACCCATCAAATTGTAAGAATATATGCTTTTTGTATTTATTTTGTTTTATTTATTTCTCATTGTGATTTCATGTACTTAAAATCTACATGCTACATGACTTAAGGCAATGAAACCTGATACCAATAATCATCTTACCGATGTCTTTAGGTGTCTCTTTGAAGGTCAAAAGGTCGCTAAAACAAATTAATCTAAATGATAGTTTGTGTAGAATCCATATTATCCATCAATTATCGTCGATCTTGTGACAACATTTACACATAATGTATATAATAGGTTGACATCGTGAGAAATATATTTAGGATATTCTATATTCTATATGCATACACATCTCCAATTGTTTTATCTGGCTATAAATAGCTTTCAAGTGAACAATATCATCTGATAAGTTGCGTTTGAATAAAGACTTTTAAATGTATGTATGCATTACGGGGTAATTACTCCTTGGGCAGTAGACCATTCTTTTCTACCGCCAAGGGAGATTTGCCCTGCAATTCATCATTTACAACGATTCAATTAGCTAGGCAAGGTAAGTTTCCTTCTAAATGTTATTTAATATTGTTTGGCTACTATGTAAGTAAAGGATATAGTCATTTGTATTACCATCGTGACTAGATTTTGATACTACTAATACTAGTGTATTATTTATTTTTATTGAAAACAAAATGCAGTAGAACTATATATATATATATATATATATATATATATATATATATATGGCTATGGACACATATTTAGAAAAAAAAAATATATGCAAATGTATATTTAGTTATTCTTCTACCCTCTCTTTAATCAAACTAACTTGATGTTTTTCATTGGATGTTCTGCGGTGAACTTTCTGTTGTTCCATGTTATTCATCATCCAAAGGAAGATGCTGACACACACGAAGGTCACTGCCACCCATTCAAACCACGATTTTACAAATTATAACTACGGAAACAAATTAGTTTTTTTAATAATAATAATAATAATAATAACTAGTATAGGAAGCCATGCTTCGCATGGGTCGGAAGACATTTTTTTTTCCAAACTTGTCGGAAGGCATTTTTTTCCAGACTTCAAGGAAAAAAAAGAAAGTACCATCTAAGTATGTAACCGCAAATACAGCAACTGAATCAACCAATATCTATGATGATTTCCTTGAAATACAAGTAAAACAAAAAAAAAAAAAAACAACATATGATTTAAAAGCGAATGCCTAGATCAGGAAAAAGAGACAAAACGATAACCCAAAAAATGCAGAATTCTTTCAGTGCTGACTCTTCTTCTGGTATGAATCATGTTTCAGATTTCCTTTGCAAAGTATGCCTTTGGTTGTGGTCTCTTAACTGGAAGGAAATGTAGAAATTCATTCTTTTTAAGCAACCTACTTACATATTTCTCATAAAACCAACATACTAATAATTTCTTACTAATAATAGCAACCTACATACATTTTCTTATTAGCACCCATAATACTAAAAAGAAAATCTATTACTATTTTTTCTGAATAAGTACGTTGCTATTATTGAGAAGAGTAGAGGTAGGTATCTTCAACATCAGGGTAAGAAGGCCATTTTATACATAATTCGTTCAGCCGCTAACAGCTTTTGCAAACTCAAAACCTATCACCTGAATTAAAATAGATATAAAATAAGTTTTTGTGATGAAAATATGGAAATTAAAGTTATTGTATGTGATTTTGTTACCCGTATTAGAATCGGTTTGCCTAACTTCACCAAAATGCCTTGACTTGCTAGTAATTATCTCCACCAACATTTCCCGATTCCAAATCTACAACTAACAAATTCTCTTACTATTTTCCATCATTCAGTACCTCAATCTATAACAACTTTAACAAAACCATAATTTTAATCTTATGACCCAAGATCTAGACCTCGTGACAGGACCAGTGCTAGTGGCTGAAAAAGCCGTGAACTCCCCTGTAACCTAGCCTCCTGTTTGCAGGAGACTAAACTAAGCTATTAACCTAATATTACTCCATTGATTGTTTTCAAATTCCAGCATATCTTATTTCATGAATGACTACCCTTTAAATATGGATAAACAAAAGACTCAAATCAAGAAACAAAGACTTCTAGAATCCACTCAAATAATAAAAGATCCTAATTGCCAAAATTAAAAACGGAAACAAGATAACTTCCTAGAATATAAAATACTTATTATCTATTAACTTAAAGACCTATCAAGTATGATTCATAACATTACTCCCTTCCTTTGCATTGAGCTTGTCCGCAAGCTCAAAACATGGGTACGTGTTGGTAAAAACAGCACGATCATCCCAAGTAACATCTTCTTCATCCTCCAACATGATACCAAATAGTTTCGCACACTTATGGCCAATCGAGAACATCTCATCACAGTTAAAGCATAATCCTTTTGCTCGCCTTTCTGCCATCTCTGTAGCTGTAAGTCGTTTCAAAGCCGGGTTCCGCACTTCAGATTTCACTGTTCCGGCTCCACCACCTGTTGATTCTTGGTTTTTGCTTCCTGTCGAGGGTTGATTCCCAGCTAATAGAGGCTCTTCAAAACTCCTTGGTTGTCCCTCCTCCGCAAGTTTGAACTCAATCTGTCTGGACAGGCTCATAGCATAGTATAGTGTGATGGGTCTAGCAAACTCTACTTCATAACGGATAGCATTAGTCAAACCTGCACAAAAATGCCAAATGCTTTGCTCCGGAGTCACACCCGTCGTTCGCCCTAACAGCAACTCAAAGCCTTCACAATAATCCTCTACTGTACCTGTTTGCCTTAATCGAGTTAACTCGCCTAACGGGTTCATGCTCATCGGGGGTCCAAATCTGATTTTGCACTCTTCTGAGAACTCAAACCAATTCAAGTGGGTCTTCATTCTTGGCAGGTTATGGTACCACCCACTAGCCCGACCTTGTATTGAAAAGGTGGCCTGCCTAACCCAAGCTTAAGTGGGGGTCTGTTGTTCTTCAAAGAAGTCTTCACATCTTTGAAGCCATTCGACTGGATTACCCTTCCCATCATAGGTGGGAAACTCCATCTTGGCGAATCTCGGTACTCTTCCCCCACGGTATCCCATATCTTCCAATTCTATTTGACCCTTCTGGTTTGAGGGAGTCCCAATGGTGTTTGAAAGGTTGGTGTTCACCTGTCCGCCATGTTTCAAAAGCCTTGCTTGATCCTTTTCCTGCTCCTTCCTGGATCACACCCTTTCCTCTTCCAGTAAAGCCTCCTTGGTACAAAAACTTACTGTTTGGATTGGCACCAAAGGTGGCGCCACGTCCTCTTCGACGCACCTGTTCCGATGGGTCATCAAATCTATCAGACTCGAACATGTTGTCCACGTTTTCATCTTCTTCTTCTTGTCTGTTGGATTTGTTTTGGGTTAGGGTTTGCAATCTCTCTTCCATCGCTGCTTGCTTGGTCTGCAAGGTTGTCATAGTCGCCTTTAAATCATTGGTACTTGTCTTCAAATCATTGTTGCTTTGTGTTTGTTGGATCATGAACGCTTCCAATTTCTTCATCAGCTCTTCCAGTTGTGTCGACATCACGAGCGTCTCTGATACCAAATTTGTTATGACCCGAGATCTAGACCTCGTGACAGGACCAGTGCTAGTGCCTGAAAAAGCCGTGAACTCCCCTGTAACCTAGCCTCCTGTTTGCAGGAGACTAAACTAAGCTATTAACCTAATATTACTCTATTCATTGTTTTCAAATTCCAGCATATCTTATTTCATGAATGACTACCCTTTAAATAGGGATAAACAAAAGACTCAAATCAAGAAACAAAGACTTCTAGAATCGACTCAAATAATAAAAGATCCTAATTGCCAAAATTAAAAACGTAAACAAGATAACTTCCTATAATATAAAATACTTATTATCTATTAACTTAAAGACCTATCAAGTATGATTCACAACACTTCAGAATACTAAAGAAAGGCAATAAGGTAAATAAATAAATATCATTTCGGATTCATAATTTGACATACTGTGATCAGATATTTTGTTTACTCTATTTGTTTAGGTATAAAACAAAAGTCATGTCAAGAAAACTCATCATAAACAACATAAATATCATTTTAAGATATGAACAATAATGAATATTTAAGGTATAAGATATTAAAAAACTGTGAATATATATATATATATATATATATATATATATATATATGTGTGTGTGTGTGTGGGTGGGTGGGTGGGTGGGTGTGGGTAGCCATTTAGCATAATGTGTGTGTGTCTATCTATGGTTGTTTGGTGGATGCAATCAAGGCTTCAGCCTCTTTTAACCGACCAAATGGAAAGAATAATAAGTGCAAAACCCAAACTATCAAAATATTTACCCCAGATGAGAAAAATTCTGTCAAGGAAAAGAAATTTCAAGACAATTTCACTTCATAAAAAACATAATTCTTCATGAAAATTCAAAATAAAATATGTAAAAAAAATCAAAATCTACGTAAAAATGTTGATAAAACGGTTAATTTACCCCCATTGAGGCCCTATGGGTCATTTTCGGGTTCCAAATTACAAACTCTTTTGTCTTTCTCCTTTCTAAGGATGTAAAATACAGACAATGGATACATAATATAAATTTAAAAGACAAACAAAGGAATAGAGATAAATCAGCTATTTCATATAGGTTGCAGACCTAGTGATTTAGTAAGCTTAACATCAATGGGATTGTATTGCCATACCTGGATTATCAGTTTTAGTAACTACGATTATTCAACATAAATTATAGCACAATTTGTCGCTGAAAGGATCAACAAACCTCATAAGTTGCAAGCCGTTTGAGGAGCTGATATTTGGGTGTTTACAAATTTGGAGTGTAAGGTTTAAACAAAAAAGAAACTAACACTGAATCTTTGGGAAACGAAAACCAGAAGATATATATATATATATATATATATATATATATATATATATATATATATATATATGAGGAAGATAGAGCAAAAGAACCTGTGAACACATAAAGAATCCGTTTATCCTTTTTTTTTATTATAAGAGTTATCAAGATTCAAGAAATATGATTACATTGGATTCTTTGTACAGTGTAATTTGCATCTATGCTGGTATGTGGTAGCAACCCCTTTACCCTCCTATCCTTCTCTATCAAAGCATCAGCAGTGAAACCTTGATTTCCCTATATGCCCTCCTTATAGAATCAATATTAAACTAGGAAGTGTATATGTGTATTTGTATAAAGTCATGTGGATAGTTATGGTTAATACTCTACAATAACATTCTTACAAAACAAAAAAGAGAAGTTGAAAAAGTTGAAATAACGAAAATATCAATAAGAGAATCACCTCTTCTAACCTCGACTTGTATATGCACCATCACTATCCTCCTTTGTCAAAACATCAGCACAGCAATCAAACCCCGATTTCCCAATATGCTCTCGTTGTAGAATCAATGTCCTCAGGTAAAATAAACATGTTCATTTCATTTGTTGAAACAACTAATAAAATTCCTTATTTGTTAAACCATATACAAGGAGACACCTGAAAAATGAACTTTTTAACAAAAGAAACATAAGTCATTAACATAGAGTTATAAAGAATTCTATTTAAAAGAAATAGTCGGATAATCATTCGTAAACCACCCTCATCATCAATAATTTTTAATAAATTAAAACAATCCATATCCCAAAATTTAATTAAAAATTCATCAATGAAAAATGCAGCTTGTAGCTGTTGTTCCTATTTCTTTCAACTTTCAACCTCTTCTCTTGTTGCAAAGTTAAGGCTATGTTTGACTGAGATCAATAAAAACTCCATGATTAACTAAAGATATGAATGTGTGTTATTATGAATTTTGATGTTGGTTTAATTAGTTCATTTACACCTTAAGATATCATGGTCCTCGTTTGAAATTAGAGTAAAAATAAGGTTTCTTCTTTACTCCAAATCTCAATCAAGCTTTAAAGCAGTCTCTAATCCTAAGATGGTAAAGTTCTTCTGATATGCGAAAACTGCTTCCACAATTTCCATCAAACAAAGGAAAATTAAGTATAAAATGGCTAAGATTCAAAAGAATTCATTGAAAGAGATGATTTTGTTCACCTTATAAGAAGCATTGAATTCGTTGAAGCTTCATATGGTCCTGTTCAGGATCTTTGAAGAACATATGGTTCCCAGATTGTCTAGTATTATGAAATAATCAGATTCCTTTTCTTTAACATATCCTATTTCTCTGTCTTGATCAATTGAAAAAACAAATGATAATAAGTTCCAAAATGTATAAAATTTAAAAGATAAAAGTTTAAAAAGCATTCAAAACAGAAACGATAGTCGTGAGTAGCGAAGCTCACATGAGTTGACATGTCTATTGTTGTTTACCTGAAGTTGTAAATTTGCATAACTTTAGAAGAAGCGCACAAGTCAAGTTTGGGCACAATTTCAACTTTTTACACCCTTTATGAAAGAAATATTAGTTAATTTCATATAACAAATTATCTAGGGTTTATAGAATTACCATTCAATTTATGTTGGTGGAAGAAATTAAGAATTAGTGGTTGTTTCCCATAAAAATCCGAATTAATACTTCTCCTGCGGTCTGTCGGATTAGCTCTGCCGATGGCCTGAACTCAGTTGGCATCAGATGTTGAAGAAGAAGCGAAGCTGAAGAGCAAAGTACCTCAAGTAGCGTCATAGCCAGTAACAATGTTGAGGATGGTTGTTCGTTGACGCTAGTGTGTAGGGTTAGATAGAAAGATGATTGAGAGACGGAGGATGGAACCTGATTGGATGCACTGGTTGGCTGAGGAGTGCGAGAGAGTCAACGTAGCCTTGTCAAAAGGCAGCTTCCTATGGATACTCTTGTGTTGGTCCCAAATCTCTATCGATGGCAGTGGTAGGCACGGTGGCGACGGAGAATGTAAAGAACACCGACCTGATGGTGTGTTGGTGATTCTGACAAATTTTCTTCATCGGAGTCTTCAAGTGGTGGAGATGACAACAATTTGTGGATTGAAGAACCAGTTTCAATGCAAGGCACACTGGAGATCGAGGGTAGTCGGTGGTGGTGTGGTGGAGTAATTTAATTGGGGAACAGAAACGATGGAGGACACAAGACAACGCATCAGCTCCACCGTAATTTTTTTTTTACCGAAACCACTGTTCATAAGAATCGTTGTGCTTTAATTGTACGTTTAATAAATAGTAATAATAATAAATAACTTGATTGCATCACAAACTGAATGGAATGATCCGCCATACCATAAATATGTGGTTTGAATCTCTATAACCCTGATATCAAAATCAGACTTATATTAAGACTCTAAAGCTTGACATTTGGGTTATCTATTGTAGGGCTTGAATCTCTATAACCCTAATATCAAAAAATAATAATAATAATAAATAAATAAAACATTCTGTCAACCAATAATATATGTGGTATACGTTGGAGTGAAACTAATATATATTATTATGTAAGTACGAAAATGAGATGGAATCAATGATATATTTGAAATGAGTTTGAAAAGCTCGGGGTTTGGAAATGGGTTGACTTACCAAAGGGAAAAAGGGCTCTTGACACGGGTTGGGTCTATCGTAATAAGCAGGATGATTCGGGTGTAATCTTGCGAAATAAAGCAAGGCTGGTGGTTCGCGGGTTTCGAAAAATTAAGGGTCTTGACTATACTGAGGTATTTGCTCCCGTGGCTCGGTTGGAGGCTATTCGCTTCTTTCTCGCATATGCTTCCTACATGAATTTCACGGTCTACCAAATGGATGTCAAGACTGCTTTCTTGTATGGCAAGGTGAACGAAGAAATTTATGTTGATCAACCCCCTGGGTTTGTTGACTCAAAGTTCCCTGACCGTGTCTAAAAGTTTGACAAAGCTTTGTATGGGTTACATCAAGCTCCTCGAGCATGGTATGCGACTCTAACGAAGCATTTGCTCGAGCATGAATACTCTCGCAGAACCATTGATCAAAATTTGTTTATCAAGCATTTGGGTAATGATCAGATACTAGTTCAGATGTATGTTGACGACATTATTTTCGGGTCAACCTGTCCACAGCTTTGCAAAGAATTTGAAGGCATGAGGAAAAAAAGGTTTGAGATGAGTTCTCTAGGAGAGATGGCCATGTTTCTCGGGCTTCAGGTCAAACAATCTTCTACCGGAATCCTAATTCACCAAGCAAAGTATGTGGATGATATGGTGGAGAAGTTCGAGTTCCGAGACGCGAAACCTACTCTTACACCCATGGCGGAGAGACCTATATTGGCTCCTGATCTTGAAGGCGAATCTGTAGATCAGACATATTATCGATCAATGATCGGATCGCTCGTGTATCTAACTGCTAGTCGCCCAAATATAATGTTTACGGTCTGTCAATGCACACGCTTCCAGGCCAATCCTAAACTTTCTCATCTTATTGTTGTTAAACAGATTTTTCGGTATCTCAAAGGTTGCCCAAAACTGGGCATTTGGGATCCGAAAAATCCTGAATTTGACCTTTATGCTTTTGCAGACAGCAACTATGGCGGGTGTGAGCTTGATAGAAAATCGACTTCAGGAGGATGCCAATTTCTTGGAGATAGACTGGTCTCATGGCAATGCAAGAAGCAGCATGCGGTCTCAACCTCAACAGAAAAAGCGGAATATGTCGTTGCGTCTACCTGTTGCTCTCAAGTCATATGGATCCAACATCAGCTGTTGGACTACGGTTTGAACTATCTAGAAACCCCAATTTATTGTGATAATGAGGCTGCTATACAAATCGCTATAAATCCAGTCCAACATTCCAAAACCAAGCACATTGACATCAAAATTCATTTTATCAGAGATTGTCATGAGCGCTCGCTCATAAGGCTAGACCATGTTCCCACTGACAATAATGTGGCGGACCTGTTCACAAAGCCTTTTCACAAAGCTCGATTCGATGTGCTTGTGGAATTTTAAAAAATGATTCGTTTTGAGGATTAAACTTTTTGGTTACGCTTAGGTAAAATTTGCGCATTTTAGTCGTTTCATTTTCTCTCATGCACAAATTTAGGGGGAGAAATAACCAAAAATCCAAAAATATTTTGTTTCTGTTTTATTTTTTTCGGAAAAACATTCAAAAATCCAAAAACATTAAAAAAATCAAAAATCCAAAAACATCAAAAATTCAGAAAAATCAAAAACATTGTCGCTAATAGTTCTGCTTGTGATTATTGTATTGGGAAGTGATATTATCTAGTGATAACAGGAAATCTAAGTTTGCGTAACGTACCCAAAGTTGCAGTCTAAGTTTGCGTAACGTACCCAAAGTTGAAGTGTTTATGCTCTTTGATGCGTCGGTAGGCACAAAAGATTCTAAATGGACATAACTAGGAAAAGCTGAACTTAGGAAATCTATAGACTTGACAAATCTTGACCTAGTTAGATCCGTTTAGCCTGACAATACGACGCTTGGATAGGTTGAGCAGGGATATATATATATATATATATATATATATATATATACATATATATATATACATATATATATATATATGTATGTATATATATATACATATATATATATATACACACACACACACACACATATATATATATATATATATATGGGAATCTACTCGTCACATTAAATGAACTCGTATCTGGAACCGTGGTTAAACTTTTCCTCGATGTACGGATTCTGTCCTTAATTCCGGTATTGATGGGTCGACTAGTAAATTCCGATGAATTAGGTCTGCAGAAAAATTGTTTTCTTTCTATATGTCTGTTAGTCATATGTTATCTCGTCTGCGTAACTCAAAATCCGACCTCGACTGTAACATATGCAACTCTATTTCTCTACATATCATATCTATGAAATTCCTTTTATCTGTTAGCCATATGTTGTCTCATTTGTGTGACTAACAATCCGACCTGTTACACAGCATATGCATCCTTCTACTTCTCAATCCCTCTAAAACTATAAGTGATAATAATCTGAATCTATCCTCTCTCCTAATGATTGTCTGCTCACCCGATGTAAGGAGTACTCTGGAAGTCTTTGATTACTGGGGCATATCAGGAAGCGGGAAACATGTTCCAGTACAATTAAAATTGAACACTCAAAGATTGTCTATAGATCTCAGTGCTCAATTTAGGTGGATAACAATTTCCCTGGTCGTCGTCAGATGAATGGTCCTTAAGATATAGTATCTAAGAACTTAGGATCAGATATAATATTTAGGATCTTAGGATCTCTTTGTCTTACAATTATTATTATGTCCTAAAATTGTCACAATTTTTCGTGTTTAAGTGGACCACAATACCGACGATCGACCAGACAAAGATGTGAATATGAAAGGTACCGACAAGTGGATTAAGGTTGTCTAATAACTTTGATCCTCGCATCACAAGAAAATATTAGTAAATCTTGAGAAAAAAATTTGTATGCATTTACTTTTACTTTTATTTTTATTTTTAATTTGATTATTTATTTTTATTTTTATTTTATTTTATAATTGTCAAAATTTAATTTTTAAAATATTTTAATTCTTAAATTTTAGAAATTAGTTTATTTTATTTTTAGGTTAATTTCATTTTTATTTTTATTATTATTTTTATGTCCTCAAAATGTTTTATTTTTGGAAGTTTAATCGAATTTAAGATTGTGATTACACTCTGTGGGAGACTGGTATTTTCGAATGGAGTATAAAAAGAAGAGTTTACTTCTGTAAACCTTTTCCACTCCCTCCTCTCCTCTTTACAACCGCAAATACACACTCTCTCTCTACCTCGAAAATTTTTGTTAAAGTTCTGAGAAATCGGCCTAGTACACCTCGAAGGTATGTCAAAACTGACCGGGAATCTGCTTTCTATTCGCCATTCCAACCAAAATCGAAGGAGTAATCGGAGTTTAAAGAACTATCGACATTTACTATTCATGAGGAGTTTACGGTTTAAGAACATTCAAGAACCGTAAACTCCATCTGGCCTTACGACCGTAAACCCCAGTTTTGGTCGTACAACCGTAAACTTAGGTTTTGGTCTTACGACCGTAAACCCAGTTTATGGTCAGTTAACCAATTTTGACCGTAAACCCCAATTTGACTGCCTTTGTCCGTAAACTCAATTGTTTGACTATTTTGACTGTAAACTCTAATCATTTGTAGTCAAATTAATTTTTAAAGGCCAAAATTATATTGTTTAATTAAGAAAACTAAATGATTTAAATTGTTAAAATTTTGTGTTTTCTTACTTGGCTTGTTTAGTGCAGAAAAATGGAAAATCTTAAGTTTGCAGACATGTACAACTTGGCAATCGTGCTAGATGATCCTCCGGTCGCTCATGCAGAGTTCAAGTCCATGATCTATAGGCTGAGAGAGTGTTGTTTATCCTGTACCATCACAGTAAATCCCATCATCTATCAGAATATCATCCGGGAGTTTTGGCAGACAACTAAAATGGCTAAAGTCAATGGAGAAATTTCAATTGATGTTGTAGCCAAAGGTTGCAAGATCAAGATTACAGAGCAGTACATCAGAGATACTTTGCTGGTCAACGATGAATCCAATTTCCCTACTGAAATTGGAATTGATGATGTACAACGGATCCTTCAGAGGATGGGATATGAGGGTGTCTACCCTCCCAGAGTGAAGAAGCTCCTGCCTCCTTACTGGCGATTCTTAGCACACGTGTTCGTGAGTTGCATTTCTGGCAGGAGATCACGAGCTGATGAGATCTCCCTCAGGAACACAGTGGAAATTGTCTCCTTGGTTGCTGGCATAAAGTTTAACTTTTCAAAGTTCATTCTCGATGAATTCCTTGTGAACATCAACGCCATGACCCGGGGAACCAGAGATGTATTCTTGCTTCATCCAAGGTTCATTCAAGTATTCATTGATGACCCGTTTCCATAAATGATCAAGGATGGTGACAAGTTGGATATAAAATCCTTGGGCCCTCACACAGTTGTTCTTATCAAGCAAACTAGAAAGGGCAAGGTTGTATTTCAAGGTTTACATCCCCTGGTGAAGTTTGGGAATTTTGCTGAGATTAACGAGTCCTACGAGTCCCATGGAACGTTCCAAAAGACTTTGTCCGAGCCGACTTCCTCTGAAAGAGTTATTTCTGAAGATATCATCTCGATTTCAGAT